CGGGCAGGAAGAGCGGTCGTCGATGCCTGTGCAGGTTGTGCGGGCGTTCGATTTGTGGGGGCGCTAAAGCCGCCAAGGAGAACTTCTCGAAGAGCGAGAAGTTCCGATGTGAGGCAGCCACTCCTGCTGTGTGGAATGCGATCTGGTCGAAGGACATGACAAAATGTCCAAAGGAGTTCGCGTCGGCCATAGAAACGTTGCAGAGCCACTTGCCAGGTCATCCGAGCTTGCAGTGGCCACCTCTTCGATTCCCCGAGGACGCAGTGCCGCCGCTGGTTCCTCCCACCGCCCCTTGTGGAGCGGTCGCATCGCCCAATTCTGGGGCTCCGACCATTCGAGTCACGGTACCGCGTCCTGCAACAACAGTTGCAACACAACCGGCAGCCTCGCTGTCTGCGCCGCTGGCTGGGACACGAGGTGCTCGCGATGTGGGAGTTGTTCGTTCCACGCCAGCCAACGAGCCCTCACCTCTGAGGGATGGTGTGGGCTCTGCGGCATTTGACGAGGAGAGCACACGTGCATTTATTGAGAGTCGCAGGTGGGGGGGGAGTGTCGACAGTTCAGCGCCCGCGCTCGCTCCTGTTTTCAGGAGTGCTAGGAAGTCAGATGCCACACGGGGTGGTACTGCGGTGGCACCTGGCGCATCACCCCGCAGTTCGTCGRRGCACCCCTGGCTGCCACCGCCACCGTCGAGAGCGGCGCAGCGTCCAGTGGTCCACCACGCTCACGGAACCGCCCACCCGGATCCGTCACACGCACCTGCAGATGCTCGACATTCTGCTTCCGTGCCTCGTTTCGGGGAACAAGTGGATCATGGGGTGCCTGCCGAGGAGGTTCCCGCTCCGGTGTCCGATTCATCGCCGACCCCTGTTCCGACAACCACGGGCGGTGGTCGGTCTGACCCACAACCTCCACCCGTGTTGACCGGAACGTTAGACCCTTTGCAGCGCATTCGTGGCCTTGCAGTCACCCAGAGCGCGGCACCTGTGAGCCCTGGCGGGTTGTTGGATGCTGGGGTCCTCGGCGGGAGAGCTACGACGGGACGATGTCAGGGCACTTACAGGCAGCAAGTCGTCACGTCATATTATTCGGACCCTTTGGAGCGCGAATGGCATCTGCAAATCATGCGGTTCATCGTCGAGAGCGGGATGCCGTTCAACAGCACGAAGCTTGAAAGCTTCAAACGCATGTTCACGATGATAATCCCGCCGGGGGTTCCAGGGGCGCCCGCGCCTAGACTTCCCTCGTACCACATGCTGGGCACGACCCTTTGGACGAGCTGGATGGTGAGGTCCAGAAGTGTGTTCGGCCGGTGCTTGACACGTCGAGAGAGACCGGTCGCACAATCATGACCGATGGTTGGACCAACATCCGTGGTCAGACGTTGTGCAACTACCTTGTTGGTATAGAGATCGGGGAGGTGTATGTGTCCACCGACGTCATGCACGGCAAAAAGGACGCCAGTGCCCTCGCGAACGCATGGTTGAAAAGGATGAAGTCCATGGACGTTCAATTGAGCGACATCACGGCGTTCGTGACGGACTCTGCTGGGGTGAACGTCGCGGCGATGGAGGTATTCCAAAAAGATGAGAGCGTGAAACACATCTTCTGAATTCCCTGCGTCGCCCACATCATGGATCTCATTCTCGAGGACATCGGCGGGATTGATTGGTGGCTTCCCGCATTTCTCAAGCGAGGCTGGTTACAAGGTTCTTCAAGCGCCATGGACATGCGAGAGAGGTTCTTGAGGCGCACTCGACGAAGACTCTTTTGCTACCGGCGGAGACGCGTTTCGGCACGAACGTCATCATGATGGAGAGGCTGGTGGCACAGCGGGCCGTGTTGACAGATGTTGTGGCCGGCGATCGCTGGCGCGAGACTGTTTGGTCGACCAACAAGACCTCAAGGATGCAACGGAGGTCGCTGCATGTATCGGCTCCCCTCCATGGTTGGAGGATTTGAGAGCTGCAAGATGCTAGAGCCCATCATGGGCATGCTGAAGTTGGTGGACAGCGACACACGCCAGATCAGCAAGATTCTGCGACGTTATGAGGAAATGATTGCATCTTGTCTATCCACATGTCGTGACATTGATCGGGAGCAGCAGGACGCTATTGTGGAGGTCTTCCACAGGCGGCGCACCATGTTCAAGACCCCCGCCCACACGGCAGCCATGCTACTAGATACAGAGTTCCGGGACGCGACGCTTTGTGACGATGCGGAGGTGCAGCAGGCCTTGGTCGGGGCCCTTGTCCAGTTCGGCTACCCGGAGGATTCGCCGCAGCACTGGGAGGTCCAACGAGCAGTCGCCAAGCTCCACACGATGGAGCCCCCTTTCGATGAGCTCACCATGCAGCGAGCTGCGGATATCTTTGATCACCCTGCCAGTTTTTGGTCCTCAAAGAAGGCGAAGTTCCCTTACACGGTCGTGTTTGCAGGCAGGATCCGTCGTATATGGACGACCTCCTCACCGTGCGAGAGAGCGTGGTCTTGTTGGAGCTTCATTCATTCGAAGTCTCGCAACAGGTTGGAGGTTCCCCGGGCTGAGAAGCTTGTGCGGTGCCACTGGAACCTCAGGCTACTCGATCGACCTTCGTTGTGCGACGATGGTGTTGGAGAGAGGCCCGGCGTCTTCGGGAAATGGGTGCATTATTGGCAGGCCGTGGAGGACGAGGCAGCCGTGGACCAGCAACTCGTCAGAGGCACCGGTGTTTTGCCGAAGGTGACCGAGGAGGAGTTGAGCCTCGCCAAAGAGAGGATGCGCGCCATTTCCCGCATGGGAGCCGAGCGTCGGGTGGCGGAGTCGGACAGGGGGCGACGCAGGGCCGGTGGTCGGGGACGTGGCGGCCGTGGACGAGCAAGTGTCGGAGGACGTACACGTGGCGATGCGGGTTCCGCTCCTCGGACTCGGCGACTGCGGACGGATGGTGGCATTCGCAGGGCCCGCATGCGTTGGGACGAGGGTGACTTCTTGTTCGACAGCACATCCAGCGACGACGACGATTTCTTTGCGTCGAGAACACATGCATCCACGGGTGATGATAGAGGTGATGCTGACGACAAAGGCGATGACAGAGGCGACGGTGACGACAGAGGTGATGGCGCAGGGCCTGGGGGAGGGGGAGGGGGAGGG